TCTCTTTACGAACTTTTTCACTCGAAATGGGAATGAGCTCAACAAATGTGAGCCAAGAGATTGCTGAAAAGCCCACCTTTCTTTGCATGTATCAAAAATGGAATTAACCCAACAATAAGCTTCATTTATTCATTCCACTGCAAGAGGACTATCCTACAACTTTTAGAGTGATACGGATTTTGGAAATCAGTGATTAGTGTTATTTTCCAAATTATTTCCAATTAATCGTAAACCTGCCCATTTGATGGCAGCCTCCCAAAACCAACAGGATTTTCTATCTCCTAAATCTTTCCCAAGTCTGCCATGAGGGATTCCGGATGCATTCACTACTTATGAATCTGATAAATCCGACGGGGCAAAAAGTCTGTGAAGCAATAGAATTTCTATGATAATTGCTAATTCATTTGACTTTATTTGTTGAAACTCGAAGGAGACCTATTTCGACAGACATCATGTAAATGAAGATTATACAAGATTATACGAGATCACGTCAAAAATAATTTTATTTATTTATCACAGCTTGATTCTAATTAGTGTCATCTTTCCTTAAACCGAGGTGGTAGCGAGATAAATATGTCATTAAGTTTACCTTAGCATTAATTTTTATATTAAGATAACATTTAGTGATGGATTCCACTATAATAGGGACAGTTTAAGAGGAACTCGGCTTATTTATCAGACATATTCATCCAACGCACTGGCTTAACCTTTTTTTTCAATTTTCTCATCGTTCTTTCAGGTCGTTTTGTGGCGGTCATGGCAGGCCCCTGCTATTTATGCTTATTCCACCCTTCGCCATACTCATAACGAACAGCAATATGAAGCTTTCGGCAGCGATGAGGAGATTAATCGAGCAGTATTACAATTTCCTAATCTGCATATTGGTGCCAACATTCGTGAAGCCATTCTGGATCTCTTCAGCAATTTGCAGTTCAATCATGGTGGCCTCCTTGTAAGTATTCTCGCACAAATAATTTCGGGAAGACTCAGTAGCTATCCTGGGGACTCCTTGTTGTTTGTGTAAAAGAAAAAAGAGAATAATCTTATTTTCAAAAGTCTTTGAAGGAAAATACTTTTGTAAGAAAAACGCAATTTATGTACAGCGAAGCTGGGAATTTCAGCAGCATACTCGAATTGCATAGAACATAGCAAATATTTTGTTACATTTAAGCCTGACATTGGAACGGAAAATAAATGCTATAATTTCATAAGCACGGATTTTTCTTTCTGCTTAGAACGCCTCCAAACACACTAATTTTCCCGAAATAAATCAGGGTTAGTTGTCTTGTAGCACTACGAACTTCATCTTAACCGAAGTGCCGTATACTATCATTTCTGGCAAAAAGTAAAAAAGTAACCACTATGAGCACCTTAAATTTAGCCACATTTGATAGGGAAGATTGTCATTAATATAGCAATTTCATTCCATTTTATGCCATTCCCTGCAAGTAGAAAATGGATTCTTCGGCCTGAGACTTTTTGCGCTATGTTTCTGTAATCAGACATTAGACATATACCTTATTTTATAAAAATAGCGTTGCAAGGGAGCATTAAGCACAGCCGGTTTAAGAGCCTGCTTTTCGAGGTGCAGCTGGGCGAATATTCAGTGGTCCATTATGTGCAATAAAGAATTGTTGCTTCGAAATATGCTAAATACGGTTTCTCCTTCGTTAAGAATCTGTGCGCTAAATGTAGCGAGTCACTGAAGTACATTCACAACATTTCAAAATGGACCCAATTTCTTGCTGTGTTCGAACCACTCCATGAGTATTCGCTTCCTATATTTCCAAAATCAGTGATACGGTCTCGATCTAGAGCTATGGCCGAAGAACGAAAGAATAAGTTAAACAATGGCTTAGGATTGTGTGAATTTGCAATTGAAATTAACTGATCGTTGAAGGTTGCAAAAAGCATTTAAGTTTTATTTTGCAATGGCTTTAAGTAATCCAAAAATTTGCCTTTTTCTCCATCAAGAGCTTTATCTCTCTCTGGATACAATCACTGAGTCATTCCTTGAATCAAAGAATTCCATATTTGCTGGTATGTTCGTAAACTTAAATCAGTAGCTAAGGTTAACGTCTTCAATATCATTCCCAAACTTGCGTATTTTAACTTAAAGTTACTAGATGAAGAATGCAAAATCTCTTCAAAATTTTATATATTCATAATTCATTCAAATATTTTTTTGCGAGACGAAGCTAACGGTGTGTGTATTCATTTAATTCTTGTTGACACGACCCTTGTCAAGAGTTTTGGACTTTATGAACAAAATACATATTACGTAACTGTGATTACATCGAAAGAACGGCATTTGCTTCACTACCTTTACTATTTATTTTTTTCCTGCAAGGGGTTACTGTTAGGTATTACATTAAGAAAATGTTTTTTCAAGATTATTTTGATTTTTATGAAAATGTATGGCCAAAGAGTGATTAAATGGCCTTGTTAAGGACTAAATGACGATATTAATTTGCCAGTATTTTAGAAGTGGTTTGACCTTGTTTTCGCAACTTGGTCTTGTTAACAGGGAGACTTAGTAGAACACACCTAGTCCGAAGTTGTCTGCCATCGTAATTTTCATAATTCCTAGCATCAGGAAGTGGACTTGGTAAATTCTCAGACGTTACTCTGACATCGTAGTCGGCATCATTAGTGAGTGCTGCCATTCTCCGCTGATGATGCCGACTACGATGCTGGCGAAACGTTTAAGAATGTTTTAAGTCCACTCTCTGATGCTGGGAATCATGACAACTACTGTGGCAGACGACTTCAGACTAGGTGCGGTCTACTAAATCGCCCTGACAACAATACCAAGTTGCGTCAACGAGGTAAATCCAATTCTGTATATCGAAAAGAGACTGCGACCATACCGGGAGCCACACCATTTTGGTCTTCATATCTTTGCCAGTATTTTATTTACTCGGTAGGATTTTCATTTGATTCATCAGAGTCTATGGATCCTTCTTGTCATTCCACCATAGTACCACTTATTGAATGACTTTGAAACCGACTTATTTGCCTCTGCTTCATCGCCATTTTCAAGCCCATAGACGTGAATGTCAAGAATTCATGATCATCTGGTTCCTTTTAAGCACTAATCAGAATTGCTATTTTTCATGGTCTAGACATCGCACGCGCTCTCCTTCCTCACCCTGTCGCAGAGTGGATTGACAGAGGGCGAGTTGCTCGATCTCTTATCACTTGACGACGATGTGTTACGCGACACTTTTCAGCATCATTTACCATCCTTGATCCGTATGCCGCAGCATGTATGGACTCGCCTCAAAGGTTGCATCGGTTCTTTTCTGACCACTCGAGAAGAAGAAGGCGTGCCCCTGTTTTTCTGGTTTGCTCATGGCTCGGTCTAACCTAATGCACAGAAAGATCAGTTCAGCCAATCGTTTTGCACTGTATTGCATTGAAAACGATTTGGCATCAACGGTTAATCCTATAATGTTCACATGAGCACCTGATTTTAATGAGCCTCATCGTTTGCTAACATCTTGCATGCCTTAATCTTCTAAATATAACTAAGTGTATCAACGAGAGTAGAGTTTCGAGACTACCAGTAAATCAGTATAATGAGATGTATTCACCCTATTTTGTCTAAGGTGATGAAGGACC